ACAACGGTCGACGTGCGCAGGTCGTGCGCGCGCGCCGTTTTCCCGCGCGGGTTGCCGCATGGCTGTGGCGCGGCTGCAAAAAAACTCAGCCGCGCGGCCTAGGCCGCGGGCCCGCGCCTGGCCTCCTCGGCAGCGGCCGAGTCGGAGGCGGTGGCGGCCTAGGGGGACACATAGGCGCCAACTAGTCGCTCGAGGAGACCTCCGCAGGAGGGTCTGTGGTCTTGACTGTTTGCCTGTAAGTTTTCGATAGTCGATGCACAAACGAAGGTTTTTTTTCTTCCGGACAAAGAGGACGGGAGCACCGTATTGCGAACAACTATGGCAAATCCAACCCTTGGCTAAGAGGTCGTCTAGTTGTGCCCGGAGCACTTGGAGCTCCTCTTTGCTCATTCGGTAAATACATCCACGCGGAGGTACAGCGCCGTCCTCTTGAGTGATCCCGTGTCGTATGGGCCGATTCGGTACTTCTTCGACGGGAGGTTGGAAGACATCCTCATAGCTGTCCAAAAGCTCAATGATGCATGGGTCCGATGTGTTCATCTTGGGCTGGTCAACGGGTGAGAGGGCGTGAAGAAAACAAATGCCCATCTCTTCGATGTCGTATCGGTTGATGGATTGGTGAATGCTCGCCGCGGAGACCACGCGGCAACGAATCGAAAAATGAGGAAGCGGCACCGTGCGCGCAGCTAGTTCGCCACGCCGTTGCGGAGACCACGTGAAAAGAATCGAAAAATGAGGAAGCGGCACCTTGCATGCGACTAGTTCGCCACGCCGATCACAAATGTGAACGGTGGGTCGAAAAAAGTTTACCGGATGGTCTTCGCTTTGCAGCCATGACATGCCTAAGATCATATTGAACTTAGTGTCCAAGATGTCGAATGACCTGGCCTCGCATGCTAGCGGGGCAAAGTACACGGGATAACACGGGCACGGAGTCAACACAACGGTTGATTGACTTTTGCGCGTGACCATCGACCAACGTGACGTGCGTAGGCTGACTTTTCCTTCGAACGCGCGAGCCAAGCCCAGCGCGGGCCATCGAGTCTATTGCGAGTCGCTCCACAATCGATCAAGGCACTGCAGGTCGCCTTTCGATCTAAATGCGGATGTAGAGGAGTCGCGCATCGATGTCGACGTAACGTTGTGTTACGTCCTCGCGGTCGATCTTCGCGAGGTAGCTGTGAAGGTCAACAACCGCTACTCCACCTTCCGTCGACGGAGGTGGTACTACAGTGTGCAAGTATTCACGCAAATGTGTCATGAGGGCGTTGCAAAGGATCCGTCAACTTGGGCGAGTCTTGAGGAACTCCACCTTTTGGCGGTTGAGGACTTCCAATGGTTGCCTTTTCCCTCCACCGGTTCTTTGCCAACACCACTTTGCAACGCCCTCATGACACATTTGCGTGAATACTTGCACACTGTAGTAACTCCACCTGTTGGCGGTTGAGGACTTCCAATGGTTGCCTTTTCCCTCCACCGGTTCTTTGCCAACACCACTTCGATAGAAGGGCTGGTGAAGCAACCGGTGCGTTGGCTGACG